TTTAGTATTTATCGTTTAAGTTAAGTAAACTAACATTATTAATTAAATTATTAATGTGGCTGTATTTCTTGAATTGAAGGTTGGATCTGAGATCTGTACTATTAGTATTACTACTAGTACTAGTTGTAGAGTGATAAATCAACTAATCAATATACTCACTTCCAGTTCTAAAACATCCATTAAAATTGACACAGATAGTACTAGTAGTAGTAGGGGCAGAAGAGACATTTATCTTCCCCATGGAGATCATCAGGTTACTTCAATTTCGAGTCAAGATCACAAAAAAAATGTGTAATGTATTCAATGTTAGGCAGTAGAAAATATCGTTGTATGTTTCCATCTATGTCTGCTAAGTTATTTCACCAAATAATAAGTGACATTCTATGTTTATAATAACACAAAATTCATGTGCTCCAAAATACTCACTTGCCACCTCCCTCCTGCCACTACTACCCAACAATGAGACTCAAGAACTTTCCCTGCTGGCACTATGCAAAAATACTTGACACACCCTGTCTAGCTGTCAGCACTAGTAATAGTATGATGATATTACATACAAACTAGATACTTTAATAGTATACATTACACATTTAACTAGATAACTTTTCTTTATTTTATCTTGATATCCTTATTTTTAATGGTGTAGTCATTCAGTGATTTACACAGTATTCCATTAAAACATATTAATTGGAGAAAGTATTAAAAAATTATGATGATACTATTATAACTTAAGTAGTGTACTGACATCCTGAGAAGGTGTGTCACACATTTTTATAGAGAAGAGACAAATATGATCTTACTTTGAACAATTTGGAAAAGCTGAAAGTGTGGTCATGCTACTCGTGCAGGAAATACATCTGATTCTCTAAATTAAGCTGAGATTAAACAATTAACAATGTTCTACTGCACTTTTACTCACAATTTAGATATTTGAATTATATTTAAACTTTTATGTTGTATTGTGTAATAAAGACTAGTTAATTGGTTTGTAGGGTGATTGGTTGAAAGAAAGCAAAAAAGCTCTTAATGAGTCCAGTTAAACTGAACCTCTGTTAACAGTGGTGTGCCACAGGGATCAGTGCTTAGGAATTTGATTTTCTTATTTGATAAAGGCATAGTTAGTAAACTAATAAAATTTGTTGATGACAGTATAATCTATATTAAGAATGTTGAGATACATCAGAATAATGGATCAATTGGTAAGTTAGACAAATACTATGTGCGAGATACTGGATTATAATGACTTAAATTACACATTTAATGTAGTTGGAAACATACCCATTAACTGAGATTAAAGAAAAGTATCTTCACATAGTGATGGGGAAGTCACTCAGTTTGTCAAAGCAAGCTGAAACACCTGAGCATGATTAAGTTAAGAGGGGAAGAGATGATTTCCTGAAAAAATAAAGGATGGATTTTAATTTTTGCTTTTTCTGAGAATGCTGGGATAGATTTGAAGGATAAAATGGTACCTTGTTGTCCATAATATTAACATGATAATTAGAGAAATTTTTCTTGTTTGTTATAATTTTTTTAAATTGTGGTTTCAAAATATTTGTGGATATATATATTGCAAGATATACCATTTTCAGATTTTTTTGCTCTATCTTTGTCATCATTGTATATTTATTCATATTTTTACACTTTCCTTCATAGCATCTTCCAATAATCTCTGTGGTTGTGCATGCACTCATGCAAATATCACTGCTACAAATCATGACATTGTCTTGTTTAGTGCTAGGAAGACATGACACTGAGAACTGTAACGTGAATATACTGTATGGAGAAGAAATTGTAGATTAATTAAAACATAAATTGTGCTCTACATTTAAGATTTTTAGGAAATATATACAAGATTTTGTAAAAGTTAGTATTTTTTTTTCACAGTTATAATTTAATTAAAATAGTCTTATTTTGTGCTTTGTACTAGTCAATACAACCAATAATTGTTATTACATGCAGCAACTTGTTCAAAGTATTGACAGGTATAAATGATGTAACAAGTAAGGAACCAAAAATTCATAATGCAAACTATTTTAGGAAATTTGGCATATACTTTCAGTATGACTATTTGAAATATATGATATAAACTACAAGTTTTGTAACATTCTAATAGGCCTCAGGTACTACTAAAGCATTATTTGAGGATACAAGTTTTATTTCCTGCATCTTTAAGTGTATGTAATTGTACACATACTTTACCTTTTTACTCTAAGTTACAGACATGTTTATATGCTAATGTTTTTTTAACAAGCCAATTTTGAGTTATTGAGTGTAGCCACTGTTGTATGTTATTTCTGCATATTAGGTTAGTTTAACTTTTTTCTTTTTCATACATTTTCTGCATTCCATCTTAGTGATGATTGTATATGTTATGATGTCATCAAGGAAAAAAGGTGTAATAAAATATCATGTTATGGCAGTCCATCTTGAGGACACTCCATTAATATTTTGAATTTATTGGAATATTCACAGTCCATACACTGTAGCAGACAATAAATCTTAGCAAGGAATAATATCATCCTTGTTTGTTTACAAGAGCAGTGGATTTTCCAAAGACTGGTGCTCATTTTTATCACTGTCTTTTGTTTAAGAGTTCTTTCTCTTTGGCCATAGAAAGATATTTAAAATTTTGTTACATTGTTGCTAAATTTTCACTGTCAGTTTTTTTTCTACTTTTTTCTTTTGGCCTAAATTATACTTTATTTTTTTATATATTTGTTAAATGGATCATTAAAAATCTTTGGTTGATTCTTGTCAAGCCCTTCACAACTGCTGTCATTTTTAAAATAGTTGTGGATGAGAGATCCAACATATATCATTTGTAAACGTGATCTCAGCCCTCTAGCAGTGTCTACATACTTGTTCTCAGAAGACATGATATTTATTCTGTTTTGCATAACATCTCAACTTGTAACTTTAGACAACGTTTCAATCTATCCAGGTATTAGTGTGTTGTACATCCAGTTGAAGTCGTAATTGTCCATTGAAGGTTCATAATAAGTTCTTCCTCAGGTGTGGCAGCTGACACAGAACACACTTAGATTTGTTCATAGCTGTCATGAAACGTTTGATGACAATTTCAGCACACTCATGTTTCTTCATGAAATCTGTTTCCAGTATACACTCTTGTATGTTTTCACACATAAACATTAAATATTAGTGTTAACCTCCATGTGGATTTTTACTTTGACCCATTGTTAGTTTTCGGCCCTGCATGCTATGATTTGTATATTTGTATTGTTTTGAGACATTCTTTTTTTGCACCATCATTAGCTATTCTCATTATCTTGACTATTTTTAATCAGGATCACATAACTGCTTTGATGTATTCATTACCTATAGGTCTCAATGATATTGCTTCAGTTTCCATGTGAATTTTGTAATCCTTTGACAAGCAGATATATTTATAAAATCTCTGCTGATTAATTTATATCTTCATAGATATTTCAGTTTCCTATTGGGGGATAAAGGTTTCATAATTTTGGTTTGCTTCTTCTTGTCATTATCTTCCAGAATCCTGTATTTAATGTTCTTTGATACTCACAACATCTACTCATACTCTTTGTATAACCTATCATCAATGCAAGTTAGATCTGTATTTATGACTCGGTCATTGACTTCTTTTTTTTCTTTTTTCTTTTAGGATGATGAAGATATCAGATTATTGTTCTGCTATAAACATTTGGTTTTGTCTTCCTTAGGTTCATCAGACTCTTTAATTCTGTTTTCTATTCATCATCCAATTTTGAACCTTTTCTATGACAAGTGGATATTGATATACTTTGTATTTCCTTGAATTTTTTCAATGTGTATTTGTGCTGCCAAAGGCAACGGAAAATTGGAAACTGGTCTTAAATCTTTCCCATCTCATTTATTATGTAGAAAAACTTTCTAGGTGGAATCTATAAGAATCTTATTAAAGTTCTTTCATCAAAATTTTAAAAATACCTATTTACACTTCCAATTCACCAACTTTCTCATCTGTATTTTTGTTTTTCATATTGTGCAGTGGTTTTTGGCACCCTTTGTCTTTTCCTGTTATCACACCATTAGCTGGTCTTCTACACACATCCAGTATTGATTTTCATCATTACATGGATGATTAGAGGTTTCTCTCACAGTGGTTGTTGCACACTGAATTTACCTGCCAATTAGCATCTCCTCTGGGATAAGATAGCTCACGAGTCCAAGTCTCAGCTTGTGCTTACTCAATATTGTGTTCATATGAGATTTTGTATTAACAATTTTCCAGGAACTCTTCACCTTTGCCCTTCTCCTTTGGCTTTGCAATCCTTCAAATTTTGGGTGTGAGTACTTCTTCATTTGATAAACATTTCCTCTCTGATTCGAGAATGATGTTTCTCTAAAACTTCTATGGCAATTCCTATGGATTGTGATTTCTTGAGACACAATTAATGGGATCTTTCCCCTTCACAGAGTCTACTCTCAAACCTATTCTCTATTGCAATTTCTCTTTCTATTCTTGATTACACTTAAGTGTGGCTCATTCATGAGTTTCTTATTGTAGGTTCCTCTTTTCTTCCACTTCCTCCAGATCTGGATATTTTCACCATTATCTTTCTGCAGGTTTAGGGTAATGTGTTGGTGGACTGTCATATTTTGGGTTTGTAGTCTTCTGAGATATCACAGTC